TTCCGAAAAGAGGCACCCTCCTCAAGGGAGGGGCTTATCAAGCACCGATACGATATATCTTCGAGATGAAGTTTCTCCATCCTCGCCCGTATCATCCAAGTCCGTAACTTTGATCGCCCTTGTCGAAACAGTAGGAGTGTCCAGTGTCCCAGCGTATGCCATTCCGTTAGTGTGCAAACTCGAGCGATGCAAAGTCCAAGTGAATCTTTGATAAACCCTTCCTTTGAGTCGCGTCATCGCGGTTGCTGAGACTTATTAGAGGTTCGGACGAAAGGAACCTGTCGGCTTTCACGAGGGGTTTCGAATGTGGGAGTGAGGATATGAGTTGACGGTATCATCACTCGGATATAAGGTCTTCCCTCGCAAAGCAAGTGAATAGCGATATAATCGGGTATGTTGGAAGAATCGGTATGAAAATTCACAAACGTTCCTGATCGATATGGTATAGTCTCCACCGTGTAGCTGAACAGATTCCACGTCATTTGCATAAGGGAATTCCGAAGTCGTCATATATAGGCCGGAGGAATCGAAGTTCGGAAATCAATCCAATTTTCCGATTCCTCTATTGACTCATCGCTTCAGCGAGTAGAATCCTGGCTATTTCCGCCCTATCCCTCAAAAAAAGTGCTGCCGGCCTCTGTTGTGATGTAAGGTTACCTAGACATGCGCCGTTGATTCAGCGGGTAGAATCCTGGCTGTTTTCACCCTCTCCCTCAAAAAAAATGGCCGCCGGCCTTTGTTGTGATGTAAGATTACCTAGACCCCTGTACTACACTTCGATCGAATTTGACCGGCGGGGATTTTTATTTTTGATTACGATGATACTTAGGAGCATGACACAGATCCCGAATCAGTCTTCGTCACTATTTTCGTTGATAACAGGAACGGTAGCTCCATCCCGGAACAGCGACTCAAGAATCTCCGCAGGTCTGACGATTCGGGAGAAAGACGTTCTCCCTTTCGGATTCGGATTCTCAGCTCGCGCGCGAGAGGACTTGATCCAGACTGAGACATCAGAGTTCGTCAGACAGCTCTTTGGAGCAAGAGATTCTTTGGCCCTGATATTTGATGGAACGTATATTCGTCGTAAAGGCGCAAACAACTCGTACCAGAGAAAATCGTACCCAGTACAGAAGAAAGCGCCACTTTGTAAACCGTTTACCATCTGTACAACCACTGGATACGTCATCGACATGCTGGGACCCTGCAACGCGAATGTCAACGATCCAAAAAATCATGGGTCTACGACAAAACGGCGCGGCCAAAACGGCGCGGCCAAAATGGCGCGGCCAAAACGGCGCGACCAAAACGGCGCGGCCAAAACGGCGCGGCCCATAACGGCGCGGCCCAAAACGGCGCGGAATTCTGGGCACCATCCAGGCTTGCGGAACCTTTGGAAGTGACGACGATTCCGACTCCTACGAAATCTCGAGTAGTGGATAGGATGCTCGAAGCACTTCAATCAGCGACCGATAGAGCTCCCGGTTTGTGATCGGACGTCGCGGACTCGTTCCATGATAGTCATTTTAGAAGACGCGTCACGAGATTGCGTTTGTGGGGTCCGCGAGTTTGGATTGTGCCCGAAATTCGGCGCCGTTCTGGGCCGCGCCGTACGGCGCGGAGTTCTCGGCACTGAATCAATGGAGGATTTCCCTGAAAGAGGCAACACCCCAGTGTGCTGCACAATCAATTCGACGTTTCTCGTAGCAGTTCCACTATATCGAGTCGGTTTAGGTTAGGCGCTGCCTTCCGGGCGTGGTTCGGCTCTAAACCTAAGTTTCGGAGCCGTTGGGGCCGGACTTGGATTAGGCCGCTCCGCAGCCTAACTCAAGTCGCCCCCAACGCCCCCCAAACTAAGGTTTAGGCCACCTCACAATGTCATTGCTTCGAATATGCTCGCTTGCGCTCGCCTATCATAGCTTTCCGGATGTGCTCGCTTCGCTCGCCCGGGGAACTAACCTAACCCGACTCAATATCGTGATACTGCTTTGATCGACGCACAACTGGATAGGCGTCGCACTACTGTCGCGCCCCTTCCAGAATAATCTTCCATAGGCTCGGTGCCCAGAATTCCGCGCCGTTTTGGGCTGCGCCGTTTTGGCCGCGCCGTTTTGGTCGCGCCGTTTTGGTCGCGCCGTTTTGGTCGCGCCGTTTTGGCCGCGCCGTTTTGGCCGCGCCGTTTTGGCCGCGCCATTTTGGCCGCGCCATTTTGGCCGCGCCGTTTTGGCCGCGCCGTTTTGGCCGCGCCATTTTGGCCGCGCCGTTTTGTCGCACCCCGCAAAATCATGGCGGACGCTATGCGAGACCCGACTGGTCTGGGCGGTTTCTTGAGAGCGGGTGACATGTGTTTCGTGTATCGAGGCTTCCGGGATGTGAAGACTCAGCTAGAGGAACTGGGTCTTACTGTCTATATGCCAGCCTTGAGAGGTCAGCGCAAACAATTGCCCACGGATGAGGCCAACGCTTCTCGATTCGTGACGAAAATTCGATGGGCGGTAGAAGCTGTACACGGTATAATCAAACAGAAATACAGACTCCTGGATCATCGAGTTGACAATGATCTGCTTCCGAAGATTGGAGTTCTAACAAGGATCGCTTGTTGTTTGAACAACCGTTTCGGGAAGCGCCTCCAATCCGATCAGGGTATGTTCGATGAGGTTCTGGGACGCATGCAGCAGATGCTACAAGTCCCGGATTCATTGGGTCAAGAAGCTGAACAAAATGGATGGAACAGAATGAGGCGGCCATGATCAACCATTGTCTCTGACTCGATTTCTGACTTCCCGATACTGACAGAGAAGGATCTGAAGATCCTATTCACTGGAGCCTCAGGGTGCGACAAAACGGCGCGGCCGAAACGGGGCAGCCAAAATGGCGCGGCCAAAACGGCGCCGCCAAAACGGCGCGACCTAAACGGCGCGGCCAAAACGGCGCAGCCCAAAACGGCGCGGCCAAAACGGCGCGGCCCGAAACGGCGCGGAATTCTGGGCACCGAGCCTATGGAAGATTTTTTTGGAAGGGGCGCGACAATAGTGCGACGCCTATCCACTTGGGCGTCGATAAAAGCAGTATCACGATATTGAGTCGGGTTAGGTTATTTCCCCGGGCGAGCGAAGCGAGCACATCCGGAAAGCTATGATGGGCGAGCGCAAGCGAGCTTATTCGAAGCAATGACATTGTGAGGTAGCCTAAACCTTAGTTTGGGGGGAGTTGGGGGCGACTTGAGTTAGGCTGCGGAGCGGCCTAATCCAAGTCCGGCCCCAACGGCTCCGAAACTTAGGTTTAGAGCCGAACCACGCCCGGAAGGCAGCGCCTAACCTAAACCGACTCGATGTAGTGGAACTGCTACGAGAAACGTCGAATTGATTGTGCAGCACACTGTGGTGTTGCCTCTTTCAGGGAAATCCTACATTGATTCAGTGCCGAGAACTCCGCGCCGTACGGCGCGGCCCAGAACGGCGCCGAATTTCGGGCACAATCCAAACTCGCGGACCCCACAAAGGCAATCTTGTGACGCCTCTTCTAAAATGACTATCATGGAACGAGTCCGCGACGTCCGATCACAAACCGAGAGCTCTATCGGTCGTTGATTGAAGTGCTTCGAGCATCCTATCCACTACTCGAGATTTCGTACGAGTCAGAATCGTCTTCACTTCCAAAGGTTCCGCAAGCCTGGATGGTGCCCAGAATTCCGCGCCGTTTTGGGCCGCGCCGTTTTGGCCGCGCCGTTATGGGCCGCGCCGTTTTGGCCACGCCGTTTTGGCCACGCCGCTTTGGTGGCGCCGTTTTGGCCGCGCCGTTTTGGCCGCGCCGTTTTGTCGTAGACCCTAGCAATTGGGAGCGGCAATGGGCGTTTACCGAACCACCATGGAAATCAGTGGTAGGGAATGAAGTGTTCGCGAATGAACCTGTCCGGACTATTCCGATTTCGATGAAACTTGGTGTGCGCGTACATGGGTTTACGAGGTTCATTTGTGACATAGTGTCATCCATGTTCACGAAGGTCTTCGGTGACTGGGAGCTTGAAAAAAATTAAATTTCCGAAAAAAATGATGATGAAAAGTACTGAGAAAAATGGGACCGGGCTAGAATTGTGGCATTTTTCGTCAGCTTCCCAACGAGACCAAGCACGACCCTCTAGCTCTTACCGTTTCCGAGAAAATCGCATTTTAAGATTCTAGAACTTTGGCCGATTTCTCGAAACAGGCCGCGTCGATTTCTGGGAGACTCGTGAAAAAGTCTTCCACTAACCGAGAGCTATCGCCCTATATAGTCAGATTTCCAAAACAGATCGTAGACGAAATCCCCACGTTATTCGGCTGTACCCTTTGTTCGCGATAATCCTCACATGCTGTAGCCCTTCCGACCCTCCTGCATTGTGGGCAAAATTCAAGGATTCAATGACAGAAGATATCCTGTTGCAAGCGCGCAGAGAAACGATGATCCCGGACCTATCCTTCACGCCCGATATGTATAACCACGCTCTAATTCTTCTTGAAGACCTGTGTCTCCAGATGACGAACAGACCTTTGGATGCTTTGGGTCTATCATGCCCTCGAAGAGAGAATTCCGAAGCTGCATTAGATGCCGAGTTTTTACGAGGAGTGAATTACGATAAGGAAACGCTTCACGATCATATCGAGCACACCAAGCCCCGAATGAATGACGATCAACGAAAAGCGTACGACCAAATCATGGGAGGGCTATCAACCCAACAACCAGGAATCATATTCCTCGACGCACCTGGGGGATTGGAAAGACATTCCTCACCAATTTGCTGTTGGCAGAAGTCCGAAGCAAGGGGGATTTAGCCTCGGCAATGGCTTCCTCGGGAATCGCCGCAACTTTGTTGCATGGAGGTAGAACTGCTCACGCCACGTTGAAATTGCCCTTACTTAGACATCGCTAAACAGGAATCACCTGTGTGCAACATCAGTAGACGAAGTAGTATGGCAAAGGTTTTACGATCAGGTAAATTGATCGTCTGGGATGAATGCACCATGGCGCATAAGAAGTCACTGGAAGCGTTGCACAAGACCTTGCAAGATATCAGAGGTAACCGGATTCTAATGGGGGGAATTATTTTGTTACTTTGCGGCGATTTCCGACAAACTCTGCCTGTTATCCCGAGAGCGACCCCCGCTGACGAAGTCAATGCATGTTTGAAAAGTTCTACCCTTTGGTCCAGCGTCGAAGTAGTATCCCTGAAGCAGAATATGAGGGTCTCCTTGGGAAAATCAGGTGACCTTGGTTTCGCTTTCAGACTTTTAGAGATAGGCGACGGTAAAGTTCGACCCAACGAAGACGGACTCACAGCGCTCGGTCCATCTGTTTGTCATTTGGTCGCCTCTTCATCGGAACTCATTGCGCGA